AAACCGCTGATCGGCAAAAGTAGCTTGCAATACAATACTCTAACCACTGCACCACCGAGGCTTTTTAATGTCTTTATGAAGAAAGGGTAACTGTTGAATTGGGTAAGAATTTCTTTAAATATGCACTAAGGATACACTAAGCAAATACTGTCAAACTTTTTAGAAAATAAAATGCTTTTAAAAATGAATAAATTATATTCCTGCTTTGCTACACATGACAATTCTTGCCTTTGGTGTAATGCTGTGTGTGTGTGTGTGTGTGTGTGTGTTTTGTTCTTAAGCCTTTGCAAACCTATTGCAAAGGAGAGGCGCAGGGGATTTCGGGAAGTCTTGGTGCTATATTGCATTGGCAATATTGTATGATTTCTTAAAGCCCATATGGATTAAACAGCAGTAAAGGCTGTGTGTTCTTATATTTGTTGGTGTTTAAAATATCAGCGCATTGATTTTGTGTGAAAGAGAGAGATTAATTCTCTTGACAGGTTTCGAAGCTGAGGCAGAGCAAACATAAAAACAACAGAAGTTGAAATTTTTCAACATGTACCCAGCATTGGTGGTTCTATGAAGCGAATTAAACTGGCAAGTACTTGGATGGGGACTCTGGAAATCCCAGGATGATGGGCCTTGGGAACGTGAAAACACATCCTGAAGAAGGAAGTGGCAGCCCATTCCATATTGTTGCCAAGAAAAGTGTGTGTGTCAAAACTTAAAAAATGAACTCTGTCCAAAGCAAAGCCTTGACTTTCTTTAACATCATTGCCTTTTCTTATTTTCTGTTCGGTACTCGTTAAGTAAACTTTGAAATATTCATAGATACTATATTATATCTAATACTTTCTTCAGCTACAGTACTGAATGCTTCTTCATACTTGCAACTTGCTTTGAATTCTATGAGCACACTATCTAGAAACTCTTTGTTTAAAAGAGAAACACTCTTGTGTTTAAAATTAAAAATTGGTGTAATTTAACTTGGGAGAATTAAGATTATTGTGCTCTCTGGAAATCTTCAGGTTGCTGTAATTTTATCAACTGCTATCTCCTACTGGCTGGGAAGTTCTGGGAGTTTGGAGTCCACACATCTTAAAGCAACTGAGGTTGAGAAACCATGCCCTATAATCTCATGGGTAAAATTTGTAAAAAAATATCTTCCCTTTTTCCAAATATCTTCCCTTTTTCCAATGTCTTTGCTAGATCTGGGCCTATTCTGTTCTGTGGTTAGGGAGCCAACCAGTGGTGGGTTTCAAAANGTATGTATGTGAGAACTCAAATCTGAATGACTATTAGTAGGTTGACTCTTGTATATGCCGAGAGGATGACCAGAGGAAAAGGAGTTACAACAGTGGAGGTGTTCTGTCTAAGTGCAACTTACATCCCCCTCCCACCATTGGAGTGTAATAATTTTATAAGAGGTCAAGTAAATGATAGTTACCCTCTTCGGCCTTGGGCCCACTATGAGTAGTGAGCATTGCAAATTAAATGATTTTCTGCTTGATGGCGACTTTATTCTTTAAACTGCAGATTCTGTATCTCCAAGTCATCTCATGTTGAAGTTTGAAAACTTACCTAACTGTAATAGATGGGAGAGCACAACACTGAATTGTAATTGTGACGGAACAGTTAAGTAAACTGTTCATTAGTTGAATAGTTTCTTCCAGAGCTCCTCAACTGAGTGATCTAAAATAAACTTGTTTAGCAATCGGGTTGAATTAAGATCTCCTTAATGTAAATTCCCTTCATATTTAACAGTGCAGAGTTGGTTAGGTGAATGGGTGGCTATATAAATGTTTAACATTAAACATTAACATATTTGCCTTTTAAGGACAAAACTGCAGGTGTATGGCAATTTTCTGCAATCTAAGTGTCTCTGATTTCAATTTTCAGAATCCTTAGACACTGCCTGCAGCCTCAAAATCCAGAATGTTGAAAAATCTAATGCATATGAAGAGTCTTAGTTAGAAACTAAGACCAGGGTGTGCTTCCAAGAATGCTTTTCTAAACGTGGGATCTTTTTAAATAAGCCTTTCTCAGCTTCTTTTATATATAAAAAAAACTTTTCTAAAGTTTCTGGAACTTTTAAAAGATACTTATACAGAGGCGTTGGTAGTTTGAGCGTCTGGAAGAGAAATACTGTATAATTAAAACCCACATTTATTTAATAGTGAAGGTGAAGGGAAGAGATACACTGCAATATAAGAGAAGATAGAATATTTTAAACTCTGCTTATCCATGTTTTGCAATTGTAAGGTCCTGTAATTGTATCTTTTATTAGGAAGATCTAATAAATAGACCTAATAATTAGGAAGACCTAATAAAAAAACCCTAATAGATCGTTGAAGGGAATACTTAAAATTTTTAAAGAAAAAGCTTGCCAGGTGTTTATAGGTGTAAACACTAGGTACCTTGGCCAGGTATGGCTTTCATATAGGTGAATTGCATGTTTACAAATTGGTGGGGTCCCCTTCATATGCTGTTGCATTCCTGAAAAGGAGATAGGACAAGCATTTATTTTTGTGTAGAACAATCCTAACTTTTCTGGCTGCTTGCTGATTAACATATATTTAGAATGTAATCATGAACAACATACTTCCTTTTCTAATGTTGAGTATTATTTTAAAATTTTATGGTGCTTTCAATGTTTTGTTTAAAGCATAGTCTGACAAAAGTATATATCAATCATGCACTCAGCAGATGAATTGGGAAGATTAGACTATAATTGAAATTTAAATGCTACACAGCCAGTATGGAAAGAGACACACTGATTTGTAGTATTGTAATTTTTCTTTTAAAAAAAAGAAGATTTTTGTTCCTGAAATACTACATTTATTTGTTCAGTATTCAGGAAAAAATAATGTCCTTTAAAAAAGATGTATTATAAATGCACAAACTCTTGTAGAGTTTATTATTTTTTCCTTAGTATTATTTCCAAAATGTTAGTGTTGCAACTGAAAAAGTTGAAAAACTGAAAATAATATTCCTTTTGGAATAGAAAATACTGGATTTAGTGCCACAGTCAGTAGTGAGTCATAACTCATTTCCAACATAAACTTTGCTTCCACTACTGCCTTAAGTGGTGAAATCGTATTGTTTCAGAAAGACAGTTTATAACTTCTCTAAAACAATTATACATACGAGGGGATAGATAGGTTATGTGATAGGATAAATCCTCTTAAGGTTTTAAATAAGCTTAAACTATGTGGGATCTAAACACTCACAGCAGGAATCAGGAAAAAAAAATCACAAAACGTGCCTTTTTAGTAAAAGCTAGTAAAAAACTGGTTTTTCCAAAATACAGAAAACATGTCTCCTGAGCATGGTCTTTGATGCAAAAATACTCAGAGGATGCTAACAAATCTTCTTGAGAACTTTGGTTTGTGTGCAATATGTTAAATCTATGAACGGTGTATTTCTATTGACAGCAATATCAAACATCTTCTAATGCCTTCTAAAGCTTCTAACAGCAATAGCACTTAGACTATATACAGCTTCGGTGCTTTTACAGCCCTCTCTAAGCTGTTTACAGAGCAATAGCAATAGCAATAGCAGTTAGACTTATATACCGCTTCATAGGGCTTTCAGCCCTCTCTAAGCGGTTTACAGAGTCAGCCTATTNTCCGGGTCCACTGGCGGAACCTCTTCTAACCGGTTCGGTAGATTTGACGAACCGGTTCTACCGAACTGGTGCGAACTGGCAGGAACCCACCTCTGTAGCCAACCCAGAAATTGCTGCAAAATGAAAGTAACATTGACTGGTGGGACTAAGCGGCGTGATGTTTGCTTTCGTTTTAAATGCCAAAAATCCAGGCCACCTCATACATTTTTAATAGTATTCTGAAATATGTTTTGAAAGAAAAAAATATATTTGATTTTTCCTAACATTCTTCCTGCCATTGATATGCTGAGATAACTCGCTTCCAGTTGGATTGCTCTTGAAATTTGTTGATATTCCTGAATTTAACCCTCTTTCTCCAACCCTTGTCTGTGAGAAAATTTGCACTAGAATTGATAATCCCCAACCCCTAAATATACTTTGCTGCTAGTCCTTTTTCACATGAAGAGAATACAAGGAATGTGTTTGGCTATTTTACTATATTTGGTTGTTGCCTCCTGAAAGTCAATTAATGATGATGTAAAAATCAAATCAAGAATTAAATGTTATCCCGATTTGGATTAGGGTACTAGAAAAAGGGGACTAAAATGCCATAATTGGCAGGTCTGAAATTGGTAAATATAATCAATGAATTAAACCAGTGGTTCCCAAACTTGGCAACTT